ATAGTATATATATATATATATATATATATATATATATATATACGTTGTCGTACTCCAGCCAGTTGTTGTTTGTTGTAAGTGATCAAGAGATCATCTAAAAATATTGACGATATCGTCTATCAAGTCGCAACCCTCTATTGTAATTATTCTGACAAGAGAAATCATGCACACTCCTAGAAAAATCTTTATTTTTTCATGAGTTTAATCCTTATCGCAAGAGATGATTTCATTTTTTTTCACGAGGATAATCATTTTAGGCGCATTGTAGGATTTGTCGAAGACATCGTTCGTTCATTTTTAAATTTTATTCTTAAAAGTTGTTGAATTTGTTGTTGAGTTTAATTCAGTTATATAAAATCAGACTAATCAAAGATATTTGGTATTGTTGGTGTTGTTGCTGTTTACAGTGTTGTCGCAATCAATTACTCGATTTGGTTGTCCGATTATTTATAACTTTGTCTATATTTATATACATATACAGCACAAAATACCCATCTAGTGAAATGCGACAGGTATTTATTTACACACGGACGCTTACGCACGCACGGACACGCCCACCTACGCACGCACGCACACGCACGGAGCTAAGAAATTTCGCTCTCAATCGTGGCATTCCGGGTACATGTTTGCTTGTCTCTGTTTACACCGTCAGCGCGATGTGGCGGTAGCAACGAGCGTCTTTCAGTCGGGCACTAGGTCGAGAAACCGAGAGTGGGTGAGCGTCATCCGTCACCAAGAGTGTCTCTTCTCGTGCGCTCTCCATATATAGCCGCGGGGGCGCAGATGTCACCACAGAGGCGTCCGTCCATATATCTGCGGGGATGCAGATATCGCGACAGGGGCGTCACACAATAGCTTCAGGGATGGAGATGTCACAACGGGGGCATCGGTTTGTAGCTGCGGGGCTGCAGATGTTGCAGCAGGGGCGTTCGTCCACAGCTGCGGGGATGAAGATATCACAACGGGGGCGTCACCCCATAGCTGCGGGGATGGAAATGTTGCAACAGGGGCGTTCGTTCAGAGCTGCGGAAATGCAGTTGTTGCCACATGTATAAACATGGGCGTGATTCATGTATCGCGCCATTACCGGCGGACAATCGCTAATGCGTCGTCTGCTGTGTCCTCAATTTATTCATCCACAACGTAATGAATTTTAGAACACTGAGACCGGGCTCTTTGCTATTAATAAAGTGAGTCATAATAATAGACACCCTTTATATCAATCTACTCGTGAATGGATGCTTTCCATCTTAAATACATAATTTCGACGTAACAGTAATAGTTTGGCGTACAAGGGGCGTGCGCATACAGAGTAAACGGAAAATGAGAAAACTGGACATATTATATCTATCAGCAAAATTGCCTTCACTGTATGCATTTATCTCTCCAGATCCCATCTCATCCTCATCTCTACCACCGCCATCTTTCTCCTCCTCCCTCTACTCATCCTCCTCCTCATCCTCCTCCTCCCCCTCCTCCTGATCCTCCTTCTCCTCTCCTTCCTTCTCCTCCTCCTGCTCTCGAGTCTCTCTTCTCAAACTAGTCGTAGGCATGTCTCTCTATTTCAAATGCATATAATTCAAACAAAATATTTTTGGAAAATATTGCGCATGTGCAATATCTAAATATTACCTGCTAAAATAGTTGTCAATTGTTTGGATTACATATTTTCACCAATTGTTTACAATAACTGTTTACATTACCTGTTTACACTACCCTTTCCATTAACTTTTTATATTAACTGCTTGCATATACTATTTACATTATATGTTTAGATTAGATGTTTACATTAACTATTTACAATAACTTGCATATTCGTATTAAATGTTAGTAGGTGTGTGTACAGAAATTTTGATTTCATTACATATTATAATCAGATATAATCAAACGAGACTTGCTTTATCGACTACACTAATACTCATCTAATCGATAAACAAACGATTGCACTACTACTATCAAATATAGTATAACATTATATATATATATATCAGTATTATACAGATCTTATTATTACGAGTAGTAAGTCCAACACTATATGTTACTATGATAGTGACGATACATAATAGTAGACACATACCTGAAGGGCGATGTTCTTACAATACCATTGTTAAATACGCGTCATAATTGGACTAATTGTATGTCGCGCGCTCAATTGAAGAGAAGATAACACCCTAAGCCCCACATATAGACCCACATTAGACTTAAACAAAAGTAAAACTGTTATCTCGTCTATAAACGTATAATCAACAACTGTGCAGCCGGCCTTGTGCCGACATACCTGTGTTAGGCGCTTATCTATATTATAGCACTTGGGTTATATATAATATAGATCAGTGATGTGGAGCGGTTGTACGTTTACAGTGCCGCCCTCCCGCGGCGACGATAACAAAGAATCTAGGTCTGATCTCACTTTGCTCGGGCACTTCACTTTCTTCGCTGCCTGCGCGCGCACGCCAGTGAAAGGTGCCTCCGCCGCGAATGTGGGTCGAGCGCGTTTATCACCGACGTGTGTTGGCATCCGTGAAGAAACGCCAATTAGTTCACAATGCGGCCGAGAAACAGATCCCTCTAGTTGTAGACTAATGAACGTCACCACGACCATCGCTGCCACGTCCGTGCAGCGTCCGTGGATCCACTGCGCTCCGCCAGTGTGCGAAAATTCCAACGTCAGTTCGCTGTCGATAAATCAAAGGTTCCAAACGCAGACTTTCGTCACTTGATTTACTGCAGGCGCGAGCTACTGTAAGAATGAGAGTTAGGCATAGTAAAACATGCTAGTCTACCATGCGCTTGCATCTTACCAGGCCATCAACAGCAGCGGCTCGCAACGTTTCGGACATTTCACAACCACCGTTAGGGAATGTTTAATCACTATTTATTGCGCGAGCATTTCTTTGTTAGACGTTGCGAAGTAACTAAACTCCAATAAACATCAACCGCTCGTACGAACTATAAACGTAAATGTATGTCAGCGGTTTGACCAATCGTTCGGTTAGCCGTAAAACAACAGCGGTAGTTTGCTCGAACCCCGCTAACGAGTATCTAATGCTTTACGTCGATGGCTGAATGAACGAGGGTAACATTCTCCTGATACACACGCGCGCACGCACACACAAACACTCACACAAACCCACACACACACACACACACACAAACACACACACACACACACACACACACACACACACACACACACACACACACACACACACACACACACACCCGACCTGTCTCGCCTCGACGATTTGTGTCGCACTGTCGCGTTAGTTTGTCACGCCGCACACCTACGCGTAGGTGTATTTGCATGTATGCTACACGACCCATGGTTAGTCGCCTGCACCATAGACTAGGTTAATTCGCGACGGACGGACGTATAAATATGGCGACACAGTGACCGACATATCGTCAGTTTCGCTTTCAGGTGACGGAGAAGGAGGAGAGTGACAACACAAGATCGACAGAGTGCAGGTAGCTAAATACATGTGATAGCGGTGAACTGCCCAGTGTATGTGCATATAATTTATGTATATACCGTATAACACCACAGTACGGGTATACCTCACATCATTTGCTGATATATATATATATATATATTAATATAGAATATACTAACATAGTAGTCATCGATAGTCATAGTATCTTATTAGCAGTGCATTGTGACTAGAGGTGAAGACAAATCTAAATCGAGTGATGCTATATGTGTGATAAAGGATCCCTGAACCGTCTCCCCGAGACGCAGATTCGCTGCCACTACCTCGCGTAGTTCGGCGAGACTATCATTCGATGCCATCACGCAAAAAAAGTTAGCGATGAACTACTGGTTTCGACGTATGGTAGTTTTCGTCGGGTTCTTCTAACTCCGTAAAGCTGAGATACGACTCTCGAGTGATGATGTGCTTGTAACGCGAGTTCTGTATGATGTAGCCATATGTCTACGATGATGTCTACATACAGTGATCGAAAAACATTGGTGCTCAGTATTACCTATTTTGTTGCATTCACACGAAAGAAAATTCGCTAGCCATTGCTTAGTACTTACACGAGTGGATATGGCGCGACAGTACGTGTATTACAGCGGTCTCTGCTTTATCGGGTCTAGGATAAACGGACGCATGGTTTAAACGACATGCACCTTTGAGAATCATTCCTTACGCACGTTTTTATGTGTTCACAGATATTTTTATGGTTCTCAACCTGTCCCGTTACAGCGGGGAGCACTGTAGTGGCAGCAGCGTTAACGTTCGGGAAATCTGCTGCTGATTTGATTTAATAGAACCATTGACTTTTCGCCATGACACGTGGTTTCTCGTTTGTAGTAATGTCAGCTGCCATACGACAATACTATAATCGCATGAGGGAAACAGGATGCTTCTTCCACGGACCGCATTAGCTCGTCGATGCTAAATAGTTGTTCTGCTGCGCATTCGTATATCTCAGTCTTATTTTCTTCTCGGCAGACGCCTGCTGAGAGCTGACGTCATCGTGCAATCAAGAGACAACAATCAGGATGAAGTTGGCGATCTTGCTCGGACTCGCCTTGTCGGTGAGTGATTCGTTTACGACTCGCGCAGACGATATGGATCATTTGTAATTAGTTGCATCCCGGCGACTATGCCGTGTCGCTGATTTATTACTGTCGTGCTGATGTTATTATTATTATTGTTATTGTTGTTGTTGTTTTTGTTATCATTATCATCGTCATTATTATTGATGGTATGGATGGTAATGATGATGATGATGATGATAGTGGTGGCGGTGGTGTTAGTGGTGATAATTATATTAGTTATGATAACGGTGGCAATTATGGAGAAAGTTGACACTGCGCTTGTTAAAGGGTGCTATCGAGTTTAATATCGAGAGATTCATTTCAACCTACAAGTTTCACATGATATAACTATAAGCCCGCATTAACTCTTGATTTTATCGTTTTCTCTTATGATTTATCTCTTATGTATATAACTTTATGTGTTATTCATATATAAGGTATAATACATGATAGTATAGTAGCCAATCGCGCGCGTGTAGTTCATCGCATTTCTTTCGTTTGCTATCACACAGATGGATAAGTAATCAACTGTGATAATTAAGGAGATAATTGCTTACGAAGTCGGTGCTAAAGTGAATAGAACGAGTCTTGCTTGAACCCGTGGGTGTCCCAGGACATCACAGCCGATCGCTCGTGTACGCATTGTTCACCACACTCACTTCGTGCGTTCCCGTTATACTGTAGGCTCTCGTCTGTGATGCAAGCGGCGGCGGCTACAGCATCTACGGGGGTAGCTATCCAAACTACGGCGCTAACAGCTACGTTCGCCACAGCTACCACCAAAGGTCGGGGCCGGGCGGGCACGCACGCTACGGGCACGGCTACGGACACGGAAGCTACGGCGGCGGCGGATACGGACAGGGATACGGACACGGCGGTTACGGAGGTAACGGCATCGGATACGGCGGTCAGGGAGGATACGGAGGTTACGGAGGCCACGGAGGTCTTGGAGGATACGGAGGTTACGGAGGCTACGGCGGTCAGGGAGGATACGGAGGTTACGGAGGCTACGGAGGTCGCGGAGGATACGGAAGTTCCGGAGGTTATGGTGGTTACGGGGGTCATGGCGTCGGATACGGAGGTTACGGAGGTGGCGGCATCGGATACGGGGGTTACGGAGGTTACGGAGGTCACGGTGGATACGGAGGTTACGGAGGTTACGGAGGTCGCGGTGGATACGGAGGTTACGGAGGTTACGGAGGTCGCGGTGGATACGGAGGTCGCGGTGGATACGGAGGGTATGGCGGTTACGGTGGTTACGGTGGATACGGGCGTCGTAGGGGCTACGGACGCTACTATGGACTCGCTAACGTTCCTCTGCCCAGCTTCGGATACGGTTTGGATACCTATCCGTACGTCGATCCCGTTTTCAATCCGTACAAGATAGAGAAACAAGCGTCGCACATCGCCTACGCTCTGAAACCATACATCCGCGCAGCTGTCGGGCGCCATGGAGGTTACGGGGGTTATGGAGGTTACGGGGGTCACGGGGGTTACGGGGGTTATGGAGGTTACGGGGGTTATGGAGGTAACGGGGGTCACGGGGGTTACGGGGGTTATGGAGGTTACGGGGGTTATGGAGGTTACGGGGGTCACGGAGGTTACGGAGGTTACGGTGGATACGGGTATCGTTGATATATCATTTATACATAAAAGACATTGCATTATTGATGGGGGATGTCCAATGTTTACCCTTGCAGCGTACCACTCGTGTAATTTAGCTCTATGTGATTTAGCTCGTCATGTGAACGCGAACCTGCGAGCTTTTGTTCTTAGGCGTGTTAGCTGGTTGTGCTTCGCATCGTTAGGACGATATTTGTACTTGTTGAGTATGGTGGCCCAAATGGTGATTAAATTATTCACTAAAGGCTGAAGACATGATTATCACTTCCTCTGGTTCTTTCTCTGATGGCTTCGGGATATGATAGTTGGGTGATATGATAGCCATCTTGGCCACCATAGTTGAGTGTTCGCATCAAAACGAAGAGGAGCGATTGTTTTGTAAACTAAAAGGCAAAAGTGGTGAAGCGACTTGATTAGGCGTTTCACAGTTCCCGCATCATTCTACTTTCATTTTGTTTTGTTTTTGACATTACCAGCCGTTTTCGTTTAATTTATTTTTTATCAGCATATTCTCTTCCGTTTTGTTTTTTCCATTTATTAATTTTGCCCTTTTCATTTTTATTTTTCACTTAATATTTGCCTTTTCTGTGTTTATTTGTTTATTTGGATAATCGCCTCTATTCTTAACAAATATAATGCAATAATACGACGGGTAAAAATAGTTTAGTACTGTTTATGCTGTCGTGCTAATACTGTTAACTGTGGAGCTGTTACTACTGTTGTGGTAATACTGTTAACTGTGGAGCTGTTAATACTGTTGTGGTAATACTGTTAACTGTGGAGCTGTTAATACTGTTGTGGTAATACTGTTAACTGTGGAGCTGTTACTACTGTTGTGGTAATACTGTTAACTGTGGAGCTGTTAATACTGTTGTAGTAATACTGTTAAGTGCTAAACTGTGAAACTGTTAATACTGTTTTGAAAATACTGTTACCTGTTAGACTGTGAAACTGTTTATACTGTTATGGTAATATTGTTAACTGTTAAATTGTTTGATCTAAATTACTGCTGACTATTCTCTCATTTAACCTGGTGTAATATTTAAAATCTTGAGCGTTGTACTCGCTAATGCCCGCCTGTGATAATTTGTTACGTAATTAATAAAATGTCATTAGACTGCGAAATATCATTGAGGGTTATGTGCGATTTTATTGCGTGGTACATATGGTGTGTGTGTGAGTGAAACAAGAGTGAAAATTTACTGACAACAATTCAGGATTCAGGAAACGAGTCAGAAACACACTGCGGTGACTCATATTCGTCCCCCCCCCCCTTCTCGTCGTTGTCACTCTCATGATCCGTACTCTTTCCAAGAATAAACTATGATATGGATTAGACTGTCAAGTTGATATATATGTGAGTATATCTGCATGCTCTTTTGTCCGCGCCGGTGTGTGTGCGTGAGTGAGTGAGCGTGTGCGTGTTCGTCGCTTCGTTCGTTTGTCGATCTCTGGCTTTTTGTCTGATTATTTTTGCCACATACAGTCATAGATGAGTAAATACCTAACATCGAGTTAAACAAACATAACGTTTATTGTTTTCAAAATTAATAATGATTGGTATTATCACAGACATTTAACAATAACAAGCGTAAAAAGCAACAAAACACAGGTCCTGACGTGTGCTGGCATATTCGCGCTACTATCAGTGAAACGTTAACCTGAGCGAATAAAGTCATCTCGAGTAACGTTCAGTAACGGCGTGACAACAAGATAAATGCATATGTAACAATACAGCAGAGAGCGCCATAATTCCACTTCTGCCATTCACACAGAATTGCGATCGGGAAGCAACCGCATGTACTAGTCAGAATTGCAGCCAATCAAATTAATTCGCACTGCATTTTATTAAAGCAAGGTTACATAGGGTTCATACCTTATGACATTTTCAGCGTTTCACATAGATTCTTGAGAAATGTCTGGTTCGCGCACATTTACGTTGCCTATTCATGAGTACGCACACACCATATGACACCTTGACACTCAACTCAAATATGATAAATAAACGAGAGAAAAACAAGACTAATGCATTTCTTATGCACGCATCTTAATTAGCGTACTATAAAAATAACAATCTTTGGATTATTATTGTATTTATAACAATGCAAATTGCGAAAGACTCGATTCGTCTTAGAAAACTGCGATGGTGGTACATCTTATAAAAAAGGGGGGACGATGTGCCACCCAGATGAAGATAACATGGCGGCAAATAACGTGTAGAAATCGTATCAACAGCACGTACCCGCGTGAGATACGAGGCGGCCCGTCACTGCTGTGATGGATAATGCATCTAATACAAATTGCATATTTTCTTAGATTCGGTCGAATTGAACAATAATGACGAATGCGCCGAATGCGCAATTTTTCATCGAATGCGCTCATGGGCATTACCTCGTTTAGTGAAGATTTTCACCTTGACCGTTGAATCCGGCCCCGTATCCGTTGAAGCCGCCGTAACCTCCAAAAATCCTGTGTCCGATTCCGTATAATCCATATCCCTTACCCCCGTAACGCGCGCGTCCGTAACCTCCGCGACCTCCGTAACCTCCGTAAACTTCGTGACCTCCGTAACCTCCGCGACCTCCGCGACCTCCGTGACCTCCGCTACCTCCGTAACCTCCGCGACCTCCGCGACCTCCGTGACCTCCGCTACCTCCGTGACCTCCGTGACCTCCGCTACCTCCGTGACCTCCGCGACCTCCGTAGCCTCCGTAGCCGTGAAAGCGACCTGTATGCAAACATCATGTCGAAATTATGTAACCATTATTTGCTATTTTTACGTTATCTTCGTGTTTATTTTTATTGAGAGATTGAGCAATTATTATAATAATCAGGCTATCAATGCGCATAATGGCGGTATATAGCGATTCGGTAATATATATGTGATCGGCACAGTTTCTCGTCGTTTGATTCATCTTACTCAGTTCTCGGTCTCGCTTACTCTGGTTTGCGATTCGCAGCGACCTTTGCTGTGTGTTTTATTTACTTGCTTGCGTATGGGGTTAAAACTTATCGGTTTATTTTAGTGGCATGAAACTCATTTTTTAAGTTAGCAGCTAACAATCATATAGTACTGTATGACATAATACCTTATGGCATAGAGTACTATTGTGTAATTACATTAAAAAAAGAAGAAGAGGAGGAGGACGAAGAAGAAAACGAAGAAGAAGACGACGACGACGACGACGAAAACGAATAAAAAGAAGAAGATGATGATGAGAGGAAAAGGGAACAACTAATACGAGGATAGGACAAGCTTTGACAAGTAAGATTGGCATATGCATGATAATATCGACGTACACATTACTGCGATATAGCGACTCACCGTTGAATTGCCCAGTGATGAAGTCTCTCTCTCCCCTCGAGAAGGGATACTGGTGGTGGTAGCCATGGCTTGCGGCGGCGACAGCGATTACGCACGCCAATATCAACATAGCTGCCTTCATCTTAACGTCCGTTCCGCTGCTGTCAATCTGCCGGAAGGTTAGTGTAAAAATTGCCGAAAATATATATACGATATAGTAGAAGCTATACATACTCATGAAAAATAATTTAAACTAAAATTATAGGCATACTTCTCTCTCTCTCTCTCTCTCTCTCTCTCTCTCTCTCTATGTCAATCACTCACTTACCTCACTCGCTTGCTCGTTTGCTCGTTTGTTCTCGCACTCCTGCCATTTTTCACTCTTCCTCACTCCTCACTCTCTCTCGCTCTCTCCCTCTCTCTCTCTCTCTCTCTCTCTCTCTCTCTCTCTCTCTCTCTCTCTTTCTATGTCAATCACTCACTTACCTCACTCGCTTGCTCGTTTGTTCTCGCACTCCTGCCATCTTTCACTCTCCCTCACTCCTCACTCTCTCTCTCTCCCTCTCTCTCTCTCTCTCTCTCTCTCTCTTCTGCGCTCTCTCCCTCTCTTTATCTGCGCTCCCGTTTGTTCCTCCACGCGCTCACTCCTTCTATTGCGCACTTGTGCTTCGATAGCTTATACCATTCCACAGATTAAATTCGCGTTCACTTACCACCGAGAGAAGTTTCACTGCTCTTCCACAGGTCTCACTATGTGTCGTATGCTGCATCGGTTGGCGGCATGTCCCACTTTTATACTCACTTCACCCGGCGTTGCCCTCAATCGTCCCCAGAGCGCCCTTTTGTCCAATCTTCGCACGTGGCCCAGATCTATTCCCTGCTCTATGCCGCTGCAGCCGGACGTTGGGCTCTCGCCTGCGCATGCGCACGTGATGGGTGCCGTCTCGCTTTCCGCACGCAAGTAAACGCTTTTTCTTTTCTCGAGGAATTTAGAGCAGCGAACACTTAACACCGTTGGACTCCGTCCGTTCAGTCATTTTGGTCGGATTACACAGTAGTATCGGTGACCATTGAAGCATAACTTATAAATAGCGTAATACTGGGGAATGTTAAATGTTAATTATTGTTATTATTAGTATTTTTTGTTCCGTTCAATTTTTACCATTTATTGCCAGTCCTTCATCTTTAATTTTTTCTTTTCTTTTTTTGTGTTATTTTTTTAGTTGTTCTTAGCCTTCTCTTGTTCATTACTTTATTTGATTAGTCGCTGCCAGTTGTTTCAAATATGATGCAATAATACGACGGGTGTGGTAATACTGTTAGCATGTTAACGTGTTAATACGGTTGTTGCAATACTGTTAACATATTAACCTGTTGATAGTACTGTAGTAATAATTGTGGTGGTAATACTGTTACCATGCTAACCTGTTTAATAATTAATTCTGCTGAGTGAATTTCATTAAATGAAGTAACCTGAAGTAATATTTAAAATATCGCGCGTTGTATACCTGCTTTGGACAGTTTTTTATGTAAGCAGTAAACTTTTATTCTACGTACGTGCGTGCGTGTGTATGCGTGCATGCGTGCCTGCATGCGTGAGCGTGTGTGCGAGTTCGTTTCTTCACTGTCGTTCTGCGTGTATCACACACACAATCGTTGACAAGTGAATATCCTATATCAAGTTAAAGAATTACAAACATCACGTCTATTGTTTTCATATAATAATTGTTATTATCACAGCAGACATTTAACAAAAAAACAAGCATAAAAATCAACGGAATACGAGTCCCGATGTGTTCTAGCATATTTGAACCTCTATATTAGTAACATGTAAACCTGAGCGAGTTGATAATACAGAGTTAGAAAGAGTGAGGTTCAGTAACAGCGTAACGGCGAGACAGCGTTTATGTAACAACACAGCAGAGAACTCCATTCCACATCTGCCATTCAAAAATAATTGCGAGAAGCAACCGCGCGTGCTAGTCAGAACTGCTGCCAATAAACCTGATTGTCCATCTTCAAAATTAAAAGGCAAATACTTTATCATCTTCCCAACGTGACAGATTTTTTGTCAAATTTCCGGTTCGACGAAATTTACGTCGTTTGCGTCTATTGCGCGAACATAGCCTTGACAACTGTCACGTCGACTAGCTATAAAACAGCGTAACTACAACTTGATACTCAACTCAAACATGAGAAATACATGAGAAAAACGAGAACTTTAAAGTTAACGACTAACGAATAATTCGTGCACACATCGCGCACATAATAACAGTCTTTGGATTAACATTGTATTTATCATATAAGCTCACCACGAGTGGCTCCATTCGTCTTGCGAAACTGGGACGGTTTATGTTACAAACGGGGGGTGTAGGGGATGTCAACTACATAAGCATAACATGGCGGCACAGAACGTGTAGAAATCACGGTAAATTAACCGGCGATGACACTGTATCAACCGCACGTACCCGCGTGAGATACGAGGCGGTCCATCACTGCTGTCATAGATGGTGCATCTAATACAAATGGTTTTTTCAGTCGAATTTAGATTTAAAATTTTCAGATTGATTAAAAAAAAAACAGATAAGTAGTTGTTCGCCGAATGTGCTCTTCATAGCTATTGCAACGTTTAGTGGCCGCCGTAACCTCCGTAGCCGCCTCCGTGGCCGCCTCCGTAGCCGCCTCCGTAGCCGCCTCCGTAACCTCCATAACCTCCGTAGCTGCGTCTGTGACCTCCGTAACCTCCGTATCCGCCTCTGCGACCTCCGTGACCTCCATAACCTCCATAGCCGCCTCCGTAACCACCGCGTCCTCCGTAACCTCCGTAGCCTCCGTAACCTCCGTGTCCTCCGTAACCTCCGTAGCCTCCGTAACCTCCGTGACCTCCGTAACCCCCGTGTCCTCCGTAACCTCCGGATCCGTGGCCACCCCCATATCCTCCGTAACCGTAATTTATGCGACCTGTGGCGAAATATCACGTCGGAATGCCGTGTGAATAGATGTAGTATAGTTACTTACCGGTAAATAGATGTAGTATATAGTAATTATAGTAATTCACTGTTAAACAGATATAGCTTGGTAACTCACCGGTGAATATATAAAGTATAGTAACTCACAGGTGAATATATAAAGTATAGTAACTCACAGGTGAATATATAAAGTATAGTAACTCACAGGTGAATATATAAAGTATAGAAACTCACAAATGAATATATAAAGTATAGA